CATGCATGCAAAAATAAATAAACACAAGAAATAGGTTCTCTGCTGTATATAATAAAATTGTAATGAATAAATAAATAACAAAAATTGTATTAATTTAATTTAAAAAAAAATGCAAAAAGAAAACATGCAATAAATAAATAAATATAAGGCTGTATGTTACATTCCAGAATTACATACTGCAAAAAAAAAAGTCATTTTCTATTTTGGTTTTCAAATTCTATGGCCAACATAATTTCCAGTTAAATGATATTCTCTGCTGTATATAAAAGCCTGTCACAAAAGATGCTAACAGCAAACAAATATGTTCTGTTGTATATAACAGTAATAAATGTTAATAATTGTTGATTTTGATTGCTTCCATTGTCCTCATTTGTAAGTCGCTTTGGATAAAAGCATCTGCTAAATGTCTAAATGTAAATGTAAATAAAAATGTAATAACTAAATAAAAGAAAAAACAAAAATAAGATCAAATAAATTAATCAAAAACAAATAAATTAAATAAAATCAATTAAGACTGTATATTAAATTGCAGAACTACGCCTCCAAAAAGTGGTTTTCTCAAGCTGTATTGTGCATGTCTTTAAGACTTTGTCTGTCTAAACTACTAAAAATTACCATTAAAAATTAATTAAATGCATTGCAATCAGCTTTTACGACTTCCCATGATCATCTATTTCACACATGGCAGTTTCTTCGAATAGTTCAGAACGAACCTTGATTCATTCAGCTTTAAACTTCACTTCTGTGTTGTTCACATCATTTCACTATGGGAACATGCACATTCCTTAAAGGGACATTCAGGGAGTTTTAAACCAAAGCCTGTTTCTATATTCACTTGGTTTTTTTCTAAACATTTTTAGCTCCATTTCTTTCTGTCATTGTTTTTACGTCTGCCATGCACTGGCTGTGGTTCCTTCATTGTGCAACAAGACACTAGCAAAAGACGTTCACATGAGCACGCTGTACTGACTAAACACACACACACAAAAACACACACACACACACCGGTGTCAGGTTTCTTTATTATTACTCTATTAGATCTGTCTCATTGCCTTCGAGAACTAAACGGGACATATGAACCTTCATTTCCTCGCGTCTTTAAATAATGAAGAATTTTTCAGCAGGATTCTGATGCACAAAGACATTATTTAGAGACAATTTACCCCAAAACTACACCTAAATGGATTTAAAACAATTGAGAGTTTCCCAAGTACGTGGAAAAACAGGTTTGGAAGTAAGAAATATCCTTAAATATCCCTTTAAGTTGTATAATATATTCAGGGTTTATAACACGGGAACTCACAAAGAAAATGACAATGACACACAAAGTCTATTCAGACGGTAAGTGTTTTCACGTGAGTTACTTCAGCATTTACAGGAGCTAGTCAGATCAGACTTCAACAAGTCAGTGTTTTCATTTCCTATGTCAATCAACACCTTGAGTTCATTTTCAGCACACATGAACAACTTCAACAAGCATATTGCCACGTAAATGCAGTGTAAAAGCAAATGTTCCTTTACAAACAATTACCGTCTAAATAGGGCTATTTGAACACCACACACAAAGCAAGAAACCCCAACATAAAAACAGTCCGAACACATAACATTGAGATAAATGTGATCTGTGCTGGTTATGTGTCGTCCTGCCAGACCGGGTTAAGTTGCAGGTGATTTTCAAACTGTCAGGAGGTGTAGGGCTCATGCAGGATTCAAAGGCTGTGCTCACAATGGAATACTAGCTTACTAAATACTGCACAGTATATTATACCGCCTCACATTTTAAAAACAGCATATGAAACAGTAGGCATTATTTTTATGCTAAACCTTTCAAACTGTATTGTTGACCTCACTGTGCATGTGAGTGGCATCCAGATATCTTGTGCATTTTTTAAATTATATTGTGTAAAAATGTCAAATCAGAGATGTTGAAATCACTGCAGTAATTGTTTCTGGTTTCCATGCTAACACAGCCGTACTCTCACAAGAGCGATACCTGCTTCACCTGTAGGACCTGATGGGGTCACAGCGGTCAGCTACACCCGACCAACCCCTCACTCTCTGCCTGACAGGCCAGCACACACATGTGAGGATACACACAATTACTACTAATCACAGGAGTGGCTTTACTGACGAGATGCGCATGAAAATCGCATTTGATTTTTTGCACAGCCCTAATTCACACATGTAAATACTAGGGCTGTCACTTAAAAAAAATTAAATACAAACATTTTTATACATTCTCTAACATTTACCATCATCCAAATTTTTTTTTACATAAAATATAAAATAAAATAAATACAAAAATAAATATTGCAGAAAAAATACAAGAATTTTGTCTGCCATGAACAGACTGACAAACTCAACTGTAAAATGGATTGTAGTGGATCAATAATCCAAAAATAAGACAATATATATATATTGACTTTTTGTAGTTTATTCAATGATTTACTCATCTACCACAGAAATGTCAAATATAAATTTTTATTTTTAATCGACTGACAGCCCTAATAAACACAAGTATATCTTTCCCAAACACTCATATACATACAGCATAACATTAAACAATCACATAACCAACATCATTTTCTGCATAAATCCACAGGACTATCGATACACTCAATGGCTGACAAGTGAATATTTATGACACAGACAAGACGGACACACTTTGACCTCTCACCTTTGACCTGACCCCATGTATCTGTTTGGATTTTTCTTTCTTCAGGAAATCTGGGTTACTCTTCGACTTCATGATGTCTGCAATGAACAAGTGAAATGTTTAGTTTTTGTACACACTCTTAGTATAATAAATTAGGAGATGTTTGGCAATTATCTGAGATGATCTAATATGAAATTATCTGCATTGGCCAATAACAGAACCCGCTTGTTTAAGACAACATTAACACTCATTTTGTATTTTGAATGTTAGGAAATATTGTGTAAAATAAATAGAATATGCTTTTTTTTGTCCTTTTGTGCACTATGGAAGAAACAAAGTCATGCTGACAACATGAGGGTGGTTAAACGATGACAGAATTGCCATTTTTGCATGAATTATTCCTTTAAATGTCCCACCGTATCCAGCAGTAACGCCACTTCCCTCAGCGTCTAATTCCCCAAGAGCTTCTGTAGCAGCCAGAAGTTTCTCCCTCAGCTTGTTAATGTCACAGTCAGCTTTAGCTTTGACGATACTCAGCTCCGTGTAAATGTCCTTGTACTTATCGGAAGCATACTTCTTATCCTGAAACACACACACACGTGAACAACATGTTGATATGTTCAGAGAGTGGTTAAACATAAACACATGTACAGAGCATCTAAATGTGCGTGCATATTACTCGAAGTGACGACTGTAGCTCGTCTTTGAGAGAGTTTATTTCCTGTTTGAGGTACTGGATCTCTGACTCCTTCACTCGCAGCAAAACCTGCAGCAAAACAACGTTTAGATGTTGTACATGACAGCTTCAGTTGATCAGAATTCAGATGACAGAGTTGGTGCTGTACCTCCAGTTCATAGATGTCTTTGCCTTGTGTCAGAGAGGAAGTTGATTTGTCTTCACTGATGCATGAGTGCATTCTGGTGATCTCTTCATTCAGACGATGATTTAGATCCTGTAAACATAAACCACACTAGTTTATGTTTATATGATGGTGGGGAACTTTATTCGCTTCTATTGTTCTTAAGGCAAGATAATACAGGCAAAAACATTGTTTTTTCATGCACTGGTCAATTTTGAGATTTTGCCTTTCAAACTAGTGGAAAGAAAACATCCAAAATACACATTTATTGCACTTTATTTTTGCATCTGTAGATTTGTTCAATTACAATACATAAAGACTTTTCTTAAAATGACTTCAGTAGCACTTGCCATCCATATTCTGAAGGTTTCTACTGAAGGGGTTTGTTAATGTATAATTTACCAAATTTTATTCAACATTTTATTCCTAAAAATAGTGCAAATATATTTTATTCTGGCTGCTGATAGGATTTTCTAATGTACTGAGTAATTAAAAGAGATCCTCCAAAATCCCCTCTGTAACAACCTTTGACTCTACTGTCAACAAAATGAAACATTTTGAACTTAGCTTTATCCTATGTTCAGATTTCTGTTCTGGAAATGCATGCAAATTTGTGCATATTTAATTTGATAATGCATCATTTGCATATTTTAACATAATATTACACAAAAAAATTTATTTGTATTTATTGTATGTTTTGTTTTTTTATTCTATTCGCCTATGGTGTCTTGCCTTTAATTAAAGGGGTCATATGATGTTGCAAAAAAGAACATTATTTTGTGTATTTGGTGTAATGCAATGTGTTTACACATTATTTTCCACATACTGTACATTATTGTTTCTCCTCTATGCCCCGCCTTTCTGAAACGCGTTGATTTTTACAAAGCTCATCGGTCTGAAAAGCGAGGTGTGCTCCGATTGGCCAGCTATCCAGTGCGTTGTGATTGGCCGAATACCTCAAGCATGTGACGGAAATGTTACGCCCCTT